AGCCAAGTTTCAGCTAGGTCTGCGCCCCCTCCCCTCAGACAACAAGCCAGCTGTGAGGGACACAGCTGTGACTGACTCTTGGGGAGGAGAGAGAGAGAGAGAGAGAGAGAGAGAGAGAGAGAGAGAGAGAGAGAGAGAGAGAGAGGAGAAAGCCCTGTTGCCCTGGGTGAGTTCCCAAGCTGTGGAGTTCAAAGCAGACCTGTGAATTCAGAGGCTGGAGCAGCGAGCTGGGAGGGAGGGGGTGAGAAGTCAGTGAGGGGCAAAGAAAGGCTATCCTTCCACTTTGATGTCCCAGCACAGAGCTGGAGCCAGGTCTGGGTGGGGTCCCAGCAGATGGCTTCAGCTTTCCTCCTCCACTTAAAGCTTTAGAGAGGGCCAATGAAGCACACTTTCCTGTCCTTTGGCCAGGATGTTTTTCTAGGTCCCTACGACATGACTGTGTGAGTCCAGGGCACATACAACTCCACTACATTCACACAAGCAACTCTTCTGTATGCAGAAGTGTGTATCCAGTGCGCACTCCTACCCCACTACATACAAGAAATCACATTCCCCTACACATATAGATGTGTATGCCTATTGCACATGCAAGTAAGCACACTCCTGTGAACACATGAGCTCACACACTCAGTGCCATTCATATCTGTAGTCTGTTCACAAGCACCCTTAGACATCACATCAAGGTGGCCTCACACTCAGTGCCCGTGACACTGTTGGTCTCAGTGCAGGGCCAAGGCTCTTTCTGTTTTCTGTGTCCGGAGTCAGCCTGTGGGCAAGGTTGGGGAGTACTTCCGGCCCCCTGACGCTAGAATTCTCACTCTCTCAGCAGTGTTCACTCTTCTCAAAGAGTGTGGAACAGGTCTAAGGCACTTTTCTGCCAAGAGGTGTTTCTCTTTGACTCATCACAATACCTGGCAGAAGTTACCCCGGAGAGAGAAGTCCCCTAGGAAACGTGCTCATTTCTCTCCCGGGCTAGCTAGCCCTGGGAACTCTGGCCAACAACCCCTGTCTTAGCTTTTGCTTTACCAGATGGCTGCAAGTAGATTATTTTGAATCAGTTTTCCAAAAAGTGGCCCTTGCTGTTATAACAGAATGCCCTGGGGTGAAGACTCAAGCTGTTATCACCCCCTAAGCACATTCCTAATGCTTCAATTCAACAGACATTTATTAGTGGCTAAGCAGAGAGGTTGGATGATGGACAGCTAACCGTCCCAGGGCTAGGGTATGTGTAGTTTATGGGCAGCCCCTGAGTCCTGGAGCACACAAGGCTCAGTTCTGATTACCAATCTTGCATCCTCTATAATGGATAGTGAAATGGGAGACAGGGATGGATCAGCTCCAAGCTGGGTGAGGAGTGAGTCTGACCATCAGTGTTGGGATCACTTAGGCCACCTGGCTCCAGCTGGCTCTAGACTGGGGGTTGGGTTTTATCAGTATTTCACCACTCCAGGCAGAGATCATTAGCCCCTGCCCCATCCCTGGCTCCCAATTCCCTCCCCTTTCAGAGAATTAAAAGAAATGCATCCATATTCTCTCTCATGGAGAACGTTGGGCTTGCATCTGGCTTGGAATCCAAGCAGGACAGCTGGGAGAGGTAGACAAGAAGTTGATTTCAAGGATATTGAATGCCTCTATGCTTCCCTCCCTCTGTGTCCTCAGTTGCCCAGGGCTGCTTCTGGATCTTTCTGGAAGCAAGAAGGAAATATGTATGTGACTGCTAGTGATGTCGGAATCATTCTTTCTCCTGGAATGACTACAGCAGGGGTCTTTACTCTCTATCCTGATCTGACATGAGAAAATTGCCCCCCCCCCCCCCCCCCCCCCCCCCCCCCCGGCACAACCCTAAGGTCACTCCTGATAGGCAAATAGATCTGAAGTGGCTGAAGGTTAACTATTTCTACTCAATCACACGGCATCCTGCCACCTGTTCAGAAGAAGCAAGTGGGCCTGTGTCCTGTGAGGCTGATGAAGCCCCAGATCCAGGAGAAACTGAGTGTGATGACTACCGTTCTGTTGAATGTCAAGGTTCTGGAGGCAGAGTCTTGTTATCTTTTCTTTTTCTTTTTTTTTTTAAATTTTATTTAATTTTTTTTTACAGACAGCTGCCAAGTGGTTATCTTTTCAGTTAGCACAGCCAACCAGGTGTTTTCTCTGTCAATGGCAGATACATAAATTACAGCCATCCTAGCAGCCTGCATATCTCTATAATGCTTAACATGTGACAATTCCACTTTTCAGAGGTCAAAGGCCTTTCTTTAGTGGGTGGGTGAACTGGATGCTTTACCTCCCTTGTGTCTCAGTTTTCTCATCTTTCAGCTGAGGCTAAATGAGAGCATATATTTCCTAAGGCCTGTGTGAGTGTGAGTTTGCTTGTGTGTGGGTGGTATATGTGCATGTGCATAGGTGTGTGTGTGTGTGTGAGATGCATGTGCATGTACATATGTGTGTGCCAGTGTGCTCATCTGCGCATCCCGAGGCCAGAGTTTGATGTTACAATGGTTTTCTCAATAGTTTCTCCACTTTATTTTTTGATTAGGGTCTGTCATTGAACTTAGACCTGACTGCTTTGGATAGACTGGCTGGCTAGTGAGGCCCTAGGATCTCCCTGTCTCTGCTCCACCTAGTACTGATTTACAGATTCCTGTTGTCTTTCCTGCTTTTATGGGGATGCTGGGGATTGCTGGGGATATGAACTTGGGCCCCCCATGCGGTCTCCCCAGCCTACTCCTCACATTGTTTTGATGACTGAAAGAGACAATAAAACACAGAAGAATGCCTGGCACTCAGCGGGTGGACCATGTATAGTGCTCATGAGACCTAGACAAGCTGTAATTATTGCTGCTTGTAGCTAAAGGTCAAGAGAGGCCCCTAGGACTTTTCTTATCTTTTCCCCGTTCGTCTTTCCTGTGTTTCTCCATTGCACGCTAAGACTCTGGCCATGGTTGTTTTTACTTTTTCTCTCTTTGCATTTTATCTTCTGGCTTTCTTGTCGGTGTATCTTCTTTGTGCTTCTTCTACTTCCCGTTCTCAGGAAGCCCCTCCTGCTCAAAACCTACCAACTGGGGATGCTAGGATCTGTCTTATCGGTCTTGTTTTATGTCTTGATATGGGTGTTAATGGGCTCGAACTAATGCGTCTTCAGTTTCTGCCTCTCAAGTGCTGGGATTACAGGCATGTACCACCATGCCTGGCCCCTAGTCTACCTTTCTTTTAAAAAAAATGGAACTAATTCCCCATGACAATCAGTCTGGAAAGTTCTGATAAACATTCAGAATTAGACATTGTCTTGAAAAATCTCGAGGTATGGTGAACACTGGTCCACATTACTGCAGAGACCAGAGATCAGAACTGAGGAGGCCGCCTGTCTTATTTTATTTTATTTGAGACAAAGTCTCACTGTGTTGCCCAGGTTATTCCTGAACTTTTGGATGCAAGTGATCCTCTTGCCTCAGCCTCTAAAGTAGCTGGAACTACAGCAGATATGCACATTGTCTGCCCAGTTTTCTTTGACAGACAGACTCCAGTTTGTCAGTCTAACTCTGTTATCACAAACTTTGCCCAAATACATGCTTCGTTTGTTCATGCAGGTATCTGAATTTGGGGGTCTCAACTTGAAGATCCCTGTGGGATCATTACTGACAAACCTCCTTCCAGGAAGTGGCTGTCAGACTTGTAAGTCCTTTGCCATGGATAGCTACCATTTACCAAGTTTTGGCCCATTTCATTCTAGCCCAACTTTCCCCCTCCCTCTCTCCCTCCCTCCGTCCCACATCTTCTCTCTCCCTCCCCCTTTCTCCTTTCCTGTCTTCCAACCCCCAACCCCACTGTGGGGAGGGTTGGAATCCAGGGCCTCACACTCTACCATTAAGCTAAGCTTGTAATCTTCCTGGCCAAATTCAGGTAACTTCCCTCACTCTTGGGGGGTGAGGTAGAAAGGATGCTCTTAAAAAAAAAAATCTTATCTTGTGCATCCTTCCTCTTCCTGAAGAGGTCCTGGTGAAGGAGCCAGATGGTTGGTGACTACAACATCTGCTCAGGGGCTGTTTCTTTTTCTGTGTGCTCCTCTAACTCAACTTCCTGACCCTATGTGGTGTTAGGAAACCTCCTGGCCCGTGGATATTGGTAAGAAACCCGAGGACTGAGCCAAGTTGGTGTTCTTACCACATAGTAATCCGCACATTTACTCTTTTCCTTTTCCGACTCCTTTCCTAATTAGTCCATTTACTTATTCAGCCAACAATCAGAGATCCCTGATGACATGCTAGAACTGTGCTCCAAGTGTGCTTAGAGAAGAAGGAGAAATAAACAACCAAACACAACACAATTTATCCCGTGACCTTTGGTAAGACACTTACCCCAAGCCTCAATTTCCCCATAGAGTTCGTGATTTGGCCAGCAGTCATTTTGTCCCGGTTTCCTTCAACTTGTGACTCTGTCACGAACTTTCTATCACCTCCATCGGCAAATTACAAACTGTGGTCTGCCAGCAGTTTATAAACTGTAGAGAAATTTCATTACGCTTTTGTCTGCAAAATACCCAAGTTCTCAGTAAGAGGGTTGGAGCCAAGGCGTAGAGAGGAACGAAGGAAGTGCAGAGAGTCTCATCTGGGTGGGGGTGGGGTAGGAGTGCAGGGTCACCAGGGACCGTCCAGATGCTGGGACCCCCCCTGTGAAATATCACACCCTTTCTGCCCCATGCTTGCCCCGGATTCAGGTCAAACTGGATTTCAATCTGCATAATTTGCCCCAGTTAGAAGGGCTGGGAGAGGGTGAGAACAGGAGGGTGCATGCTGAGGAGGGGATAGCTACCCTGAAAGGCAGGCATGGGGGGGGGGGGCAATAGGAAACCAGAGTAAAGGGTGGAGGTTGGTGGCAGCTAGAGAGAGGAGGTGGGGCCAGGAGGAGCAGCAGGCTTGCAAAGCACAGATAATTGTCAGCCCAGCACAGTAGGGGTCAATTTAGTCTACTTATCCAGTGGCAAGAAGAAGAAGAAGAAAAAAAAAAGTGGGCTGTAACTTAAAGATCTTAAGACTCACTAGAAAGGGAGGGGTTGTCCTGGAGGTGGGAGGAGCGAGTGTGGAGTTTAGGAGGAGACAGGGACTCAGGAGGGTGCAAGGAAGTGTCTTAGCGGAGCTGGGGTGGGACAGGGAAGGTACAGAGAAGCTGCCGGAGAAGCACATCCTGCTAGGTCTGAGTTTCCAGAGGGGCTTGTTCTGCATGCAGGCAAGGGCACCCTCAGACCTTCTCTTGCCTTGAGGGCACTAGCTGAGTTGGTGATTCAGCTCTGGAGCTGGTGCCCCTGGGACCCGCTGCCTACCTTCACTCCCTTCACCAGTATGGAAGATGATAGTTACAGCTACTATGGGGCCGACAACCAGTCTGAATGTGAGTACGAAGACTGGCAGTCCTCTGGGGCTCTCATCCCTGCCATCTACATCCTGGTCTTTCTTCTAGGCACCACCGGCAATGGCCTGGTGCTCTGGACTGTGTTTCGGAACAGCCGGGAAAAGAGACGCTCCGCTGACATCTTCATTGCTAGCCTGGCAGTGGCTGACCTGACCTTTGTGGTGACTTTGCCACTGTGGGCCACCTATACCTACCGGGGATTTGACTGGCCCTTTGGAACTTTCGCTTGCAAGCTCAGCAGCTACCTCATCTTCGTCAACATGTATGCCAGTGTCTTTTGCCTCACCGGCCTCAGCTTCGACCGATACCTGGCTATTGTCAGGCCAGTGGCCAATGCTCGACTTAGGCTGAGGGTCAGCGGGGCTGTGGCCACAGCGGTCCTCTGGGTGCTGGCTGCCCTTTTGGCTGTGCCTGTGATGGTGTTCCGTTCCACCGCTAACATGGAAAACAGCACCAAGGTCCAGTGCTACATGGACTACTCCATGGTAGCTACCTCAAACTCAGAGTGGGCCTGGGAGGTGGGCCTTGGGGTGTCATCTACCGCCGTAGGCTTTGTGGTGCCCTTCACCATCATGCTGACGTGTTACTTCTTCATTGCCCAAACCATCGCTGGCCATTTCCGTAAGGAGCGCATCGAGGGCCTGCGGAAGAGGCGCCGGCTGCTCAGCATCATCGTGGTACTGGTGGTGACTTTCGCCCTGTGCTGGATGCCCTACCACCTGGTGAAGACGCTCTACATGCTGGGGAACTTGCTGCACTGGCCCTGTGACTTTGACAGCTTCCTCATGAATGTCTTTCCCTATTGCACGTGCATCAGCTACATCAACAGCTGCCTCAATCCCTTTCTCTACGCCTTTTTTGACCCTCGATTTCGCCAAGCCTGCACCTCCATGCTCTGCTGTGGTCAGAGCAGGTGCAAAGGCACCCCTCACAGCAGCAGCGGGGAGAAGTCAGCCAGTTATTCTTCTGGGCACAGCCAGGGTCCTGGCCCCAACATGGGGAAGGGAGGAGAGCAGATGCATGAGAAATCCATTCCCTATAGTCAAGAGACCCTTGTGGACTAGGACTGGGACCAGAGAGAAGCCTGGTGCCTTGGGTCTGACCCAGACTTTACCCTCATGCTCTGAAAACCAGGTAGCACGGCTGTACCTCCTCCCTGATCCCTGGCTCCTTTCCCTGTTCCCTGCCTCCAAGCTCTGTCTTGCTCCCCCTCTTCCCAGAAGTTTGTGGTTTAGCAGGAAGAGATGGAGCCTTGCAAACAGACTTGTCCTCAGCTGTTCAATATTCCTGAGGCTGACCTTGCACAAGTCTCCTATTCTCTCTAAGCCTCAGTTTCTCTGTTTGTATTAAATGGGGGAAAGTTATATGGACCCTAAAACGTTGACGCATGAGTTCTGGCTTAATTTGTTTCCTTGTTCTCTTTTCTCGGCTCTCTAGCCGGCCTTTCCCTCCCCTCCCTTTCTGTTTTCGCTGCTGCAGAGTTCTTTTGCTGTTGCTTACTCACTTTCTAGCTCTAACTCTCTCTTTTCTAGAGGATTTCTCCTTCCTCAATCCCTCCTTTACCTTCCTACCCACACCCCCACCCCTCTTTTCCTGTTGGGCTCCTAACTGAAGCTTGATGGATAAGCCTTTGAGTTCTTCTCCTGTTTCCCGAGAGCCAGCAGGGCAGGGTGGGCTGTGTGTGTAGGCAAAGAATTAGTGTTTCAGTCCCCAGAGCCAGGAGCTCTGGATGGATCTTCCCAAAAGTTGCATCACTTCACTGTTGGTCCAGACACCAGGGCTAGACTGGCTTTTGAATAGAGATTTCCCTTTGGCAGAATCTCTGTGTTGCTTAGTAGATAATGCATCCTCCCAGCAAGCCAGCTTTCTTTCCTGCTTGTTTATAATTGACTGTGAGAGTTCCAAGGCAAGAGGACTGAGGACGCTGTGGACTGCTCTGTCCCGATGAGGGGGGGGGGGGGGGTTGGGAAGGGAAAACAGAGAAAGAGGAGTCAGAGGGGAATCTGTATTTAGTCTGTATGCTGCTTAGCTCCCCTCCCCCATCCTCATCCATCCATCTCCTACAGAACTGTGAACTGTAGAGCAGATCTTTCTCCTGTCTCCTTCCTCACCCCACCGTCTCCTGAAGTTTTCCATAGCTGTTGGTGCTACTTGGCACCAAGAGTCACTTGGGTGGGTAAGGCTGTTTGCTTTTTGTTTATGTGGGTATATATAAATGTGAGCACACACACACACACACACACACACACACACACACACACACACACACACACGAGTATCATATGAACTTCATGGATGAAGGAACTTAGATGAACCTCCACTTATTCCCCTGTACCTCTGCAGGTCTCGCAAACCACTTAGAGAAGAATGGACATGTGAAGGAAATGTAGAATAGATATGAGTTCACCCTCACTGGATTTGGGGAACTCTGACGGCTGGTCCGTATTTAGGAAAGAAGTCTTTGTTTGCGCTAGGCTTTCTGTAGGGAGCTGTTTCCTCAGTAGCAACTGGTCCTAAGGCTGAAGAAGTCCAGAGCTGGGTTCCAGCTCCTCTCCCCCAGTTCTATAGTGGGAAGAAGAGACTTATGGATTATAGCACGGCCCTTCTCCCATGTCCCATACCAGCTTTCGAGTTATTTCTCACCACTCTTACTTTCTTCAGGGTCTATGGTTCTCTCCTAAGAAGGCCACTTTCTTGCTATAGGATGAAAGATACAGGGTGAGCTTTTGTTCTCCTCCCTAACAGGACTGAGCCTCTTGGTTCACCTTGTGCATTGGAGGGGGGCAGTAAGGTGGGGGAAAGAGTGACTGGAGCAGTTGTGGGGGTCTCAAGGACAAAATTAATAGCGGGGCCCTTGTGAGCTGGAAATAGGTGTGCATATTCCGGGTTTTGTTCTTGGAGGGCTCTGGAAACCAAGGACAAGACATAAGCCACAGAAACAGGAAGAGCCTGGCTTGGGGCAGTTGGACCTTCTCTGGCACAAACCCTGCTCCTGGTGGTGGAGGAAACAGCTCCTCCCAGCTGACTCTCTGCATGCCTCAGGCCAGAAACTTTCACACAGCTGCTTTCTCTGCCCAGGGCCACCCTCAAAGCAGCCAGCACAGGCTGCAGGAGGCTTCCAGGAGGCAGGAAACTCAACCACGGCATGGGACAGATAGCAGCAGAGGCTGCCTCTTCTCCCCACTCCCACCCCTTCTTCAGAATGTGCTCTATTCTGATCTTGTTAGTCACTGTCCTTCATCAAATAAAACTGTTTTGTGTAGCGTCTGTGTCCAAAGCCTCTTCATTTGAAAGTGCCTTGAGAGAAGTGTAGGAGCCTGCAGTTTGTGAATGTTTCAGTAGAGGTGAGAGGGCACATGGGGGTGGCGGTGGTGGTGGTGAGTAGGAGCCAAAGAGGGAGAATGGAGTGGGAAACTGGAAAGGGGGCTTAGAGGAGATGGAGAAGCAGGCACCAGGAAAGGGAAAAGATGGGGGCTGGGAAATGAAAGGGCATAGCTAAGCCTCATGCTCTAAAAGCCACAGAACAAATGGCCTCACATTTTGGAGACTAGAGCACAGGTATTTTTTTTTTGGGGGGGGAAATAACAGCAACTATCTACTCTCTCTGTCCATCTGCTCCCCTCCCCCCGTTTATGACCCTCTCCCACTGACTCATTCATTCATATCTCTATTAATTCGTTATCACTTGCTGGTGGAGTCATTCATTCATATCTCTATTAATTCGTTATCACTTGCTGGTGGAGTCATTCATTCATATCTCTATTAATTCGTTATCACTTGCTGGTGGAGTCATTCATTCATATCTCTATTAATTCGTTATCACTTGCTGGTGGAGTCATTCACTACCACCAGTTGAAGTCAGACATTTGAAGTTCTAGTCTCCAACTGGGGCCTCTCTGATAATTTTAAAAATGCCAATTCCGGGATGTCATTCCAGACCTATGGAGTCTGAATCTCTTGCACCCACTGTAGGTGTTTACAGGCACTAAAAACAGCCCGGGTGGTCTCTGAGGGAAGATCTAGCCTAGGGATACCTCATCCAGATGAAGTATTCCTGAATTAAGGCAGGCACAGAGACAAGATAGTTGAGACCAAGACAACTGGGCTCTGGAGGAAGAAGAGGTTGGAGTGATCTTTGTGGGGAAAGTATTAGGTTTTAGATGTTCTTTAAAGAAGGCCTCATTGGGGTCAATAATTTTGCAGGTGACACCAGAGAGAGAGAGAAAGAGAGAGAGAGAGAGAGAGAGAGAGAGAGAGAGAGAGAGAGAGAGAGAGAGAGAGAGAGACTATATTATCAAAGAGCTCATATTTATACAGTTTTACAAGTGTGTTAAGAATTTTCCAGGCATTATCTCATTTAACCCTTGCAACCTTCCTCTGAGAAAGGCATTTGTGCCTCACTTTGCTGATAAGAAATCTGAGACACAGAGATTATCAAAATCTCCTGACTGTGGTCACATAACTACTATGAGGAAGAGCCAGGCCTAGAGACATGAATCTAATCCACAGCTCACACTCTTGACTGTGGAATGCTGCTGCTTCCCCTGAAGTACAGATGAGGCAGCACCAGATGGTTGGGAAGGAAAATGTAATCTCATCTGTGAGATGCCAGGCACACGTGGAGACTGGGCAGAATAGGAACTGCCAGGGGATGGTGGTGAAGATTCAGGAGAGAGAGACAGATGGGGAGACACAGAGAAACAGACGAGAGAGGAGATGTGAAAGAGATGGTAGCAGAGACAGAGCAAGGAGAGAACACATGGGAGAGAGAGAGAGAGAGAGAGAGAGAGAGAGAGAGAGAGAGAGAGAGAGAGAGAGAGAGAGAGAGAGAAAGAGGGGGGGAAGAGTAGAAGGACAGAGAGAGCACAGGGAGAGGGGGGCATGAGAAAGCAGCTGCACAATGATGACAAGGCATCCACTTTTCTTCTTAAAAAGAAAAATCCATCAGGAATTTATGACTATAAGAAGGAGCTGAGTTTTTTTCTTTTAATATAGGTTGTCTAGAACATTATAAAATTATAATGAAAATTATAAAATTACAGAGCACTCAATAGCTGAGTTGTCCACACCCACCTTGTTTTGTTTATACACCACCACGGACTATGCTGGGTAGGATTAGTGAGCAGACTGCTGGGCCTCACAGAGACAGTGCAGTGAGTGATGACAGCCAGAGAAGTCAACTCTGAGCGATGGAAGGCACACAGTGTGCCGAGAGCACTTATCACGGGAGGCTTCAGAATGAGTCTCGGCAGGGCAGCAGGGGAGATGTCAGAGCATCCCAAGAACCTGCTGTTTGGAGTGTGGTTGGTGAGCTGTTAGTGGTGGAATGTTTGGGCAGAAGAAATTCCCAGGGATAACGCAGAGTACAGACCCTCTGAGGAGCTGGAAAGAGCCTGCATCCTTGCTTCTTACAGGACCACTCCAAGTCTGGGAGGTGGGCTGGCCAATCCCAGAGAAAAACTTGTCTGAATTTCAAAGCATGGATGCAAGAAAGGTTGGGAGCTATGACTAAATCTGGGTCTTTATATGAATTGAGGATGGGGTCGGACACTTAAAAAATGTTTGTTTTAGTGACTTGAGGCTTTGTCTGTTCTTGCTGACATGAGCTGTCTTCTTCCAGTCATTTACCAGGGGACATTAATCAAGGACTTTGGAATTCTAGACCCTCACTCTGGGCTTGTTGGAAAGAGATTCTAAGACAGATAGATCCCTTGGCAAAATCCTCACCCCCAGAAGCCAGGGTGAAATCCAGGATGGAGATCTAGATGGCACATCCACCATCTAGCTGGCTGCTCTATCTAAGCTCTAGTGAGTTGGCAGGTTGCATGTCTTGATCCAGAGGGCATAGTCTTCCAAAAGGCATTTGAAATACTGGGCAGACTAGTGCTTTCCATTTAAAATTGGAGTGCTAAAATGTTAGAGCCTAGCTAGGTGTGGTGGTACACGCCTTTTATTCCAGAGTACAGGAGGCAGAGGCAGGTGGATCTCTGTGAACTCAAGGCCATTCTGGTCTACGTAGTGAGTTCTAGGCCAGCCCAGGGCTATATAGTGAGACCTTGTCTTAAAAAGAACAAAAGTTATGACAGTATATACATATATATAGTTCCAGGCCATTCTGTATGACCATAGTAAAATACTCTAAGTTGATAAATTTATGACTATAACTAGGAATTTAAGACTATAACAAAGAATTTATGACTATAACAAGGAGGTGAGTTTTTCTTTTCTTTTAATATGCGTGCTGTTAAAAGTCTCCTGTGAAATTTGAGTTAAGTTGTCCAGAACATTATAAAATTATAGAGCACTCAATAGTAAAGGAAATAGATTGATATAGATAGATCATGGTTCTGGCCCAAGAGCATGATGCCAGCAATTGCTTGTCTC